GATCCACCTAATGCCCCCACAATTACTGGCACGATCTTGGCCCGCACCTGCCACATCTGCTCCACCTCACGCTTCAGGCCTTGATATTTCTGTATCTTTTCCACAGATTTTCGGCGGATGTTCCTATCCAGAGGGACACTTACGTCCACAAGGAACGCTTCATCTTTGCCCTTGATAATAATGTCGGGTCTGTTTGCTCCAACGGGCGCTGCTGTTGGAATTGGCACTTCCCAGTAGATTGACACATCCGTTTCAGCACTGTACACGACGTTGGTGAGTTGGTGACTTGTGTACTTATTCGAAATGTCCGATGCACCATACTTCCTGCACAATGTCCAGTGGAGATATTTTGCTAACCTGTTGTGGCGATTGACATAGTGACTTCCCGCACAAGCTGTACACGCTCCAATAAGGTGGAAAACCATTTCCTTGTCCCTGCCACACATCCTGCAACTCGTTTTCGTTGACACACCTGTTCCTCGATTAAATATCTCTTGTAAGTTCCGTGTTGGGATAGCCTGGTCCTGTATGGCCATGACAATACTCTCTGTCGCCGGACGCAAAGCAGAAGACCGCAACCACGCAAAGGAGAGCCTTCGATCCAGCTCAGCATCCTGCAGCATCAGCCAAAATTGGCCATGCAGAGGCTTCTTTCTGATTGTCTCCTCCCGATGCCGCTGGTATCCCTGGCGTATTTGCTCCTTTGTGGCTGACTCCTCCATACCAATCTTTGCCAAATATTTCGCATCATCACTGGAGACAGAGTATTTTGCTTTTTCATGATGGTACTGTTTTAGGAGAGCAATGGCAATGTGGTCTTGGTGGCCCTCGATGTATTTATTGATCTGGATGATGGATCGTTCATGTAGATCTACCACACTCTGGAATCCACGCCCACCTTCGGCGCGCACCAAATGCACCCTCTCTCTGTCAGCCCGAGAGTGATGCCATCTCTTCTTGGTGAGCTTCTTCCTGAGCAAGATATCCAGCTGCTCCAATTCTACGGGTCGCCAGTTGATGATGCCAAAGCTGTAGGTGAGCAGTGGCACAGCGTATGTGTTTACTTGTTTATTATTATTATTACTTGCATGTACGCGTTGGAGTCAACCATGCAAGCATGATCCACAACTTCGCTTATGCTGAACATGATAAACAGGACTATGACAGGGGAAAGAAATTGAGCTAGAACGATGATACAATGATATAATTATCATATACAATGTAGCTCATGGGTATTGAAGGTATGTCATTTATGAATATGTCTTTAATTATGTCATGTGTTTACTGCCTTTGTTAAATATCCAGCCGTTAATCCAGACTTGAAGATCGCATCTAATCGCTTTCCATAATCCTCACGAAGCTTGCTCTTTATCTCACCATGCGGCAGTGCAGCCGATTCAATGAATCCGAGGTATTTGTACATGTTATCTTCTTGCAGGGTGGGTAAAGCCATGCCCAACAGTGTTTCGACAGGCTCCGCATCACTTCACTCAAGCACTCCCCGGTGTACATGAAGCGTGGCGCACTTCGAAACACCAAACTCCAGGCCAATGGCCGATGCTGTGATCTGGGCGACGTTGGTCATGGGCTTCAGCTGGTTGCGATGTTTGGCATACATTTTAATGTCATCCATGTACAGGAGTTGAGAAACGACCTTTGAGACCTGTCCAATTTGCATTTGATATCCGCCGCCTGTCTTCTGCCCCTCTCTTGAAATGCAGTTAATAGCTAAGCAAAACAAAAGGGGTGATAGCGTGTCTCCTTGGAAGATACCACGGCGAATTCTGACAGATTCTGTTGAGACCCGTGCATTTTGATATGATAAACTCATGTGTGTATTCCAGAGCTGCATGCTTGCGTCCAAGAACTTGACAAGAGCTGGGCTAAATTTGTACATCTCCAGCATCCGAATAATCCATACATGAGAAACGCTGTCATAGGCTTTCTTGAAGTCGATATACGCAACAGAGATATTGCGCTTATTATGCCGAGCGTGCTCCATTATCATCTTATTGACAAGAAGTTGCTCCTTACAGCCTAGTGTTCCCGGGGTACACCTTATTATTATAATTATTTGTTAGAAATGGTTTGCTCCCCACACCGGAGCTCGCGCTATTCCGCCGACTTTACTCGACACTTGACTGAGTCACAACTAGCCCGAGCTCCGGTGTGGGAGCAAACCATTTCTTACAAATCATCGCCGAAGTCGCAACCACTACTTCGTATTATTATTATTCTTATTTTAATAACGAAGGTACGTGTTGGGTCGTAAGTATCCACGCAAACACACATCCAGTCAAAATAAGGCACTTGTCAAAGTATCCGAACGTTTTCGGTCCCTTCTCATCAAGGATTATACAGGGAATGGCTCAAGTTGGAAAGACTAAAACTTATATAGCGTAAAGATATGAGATAACAACACTCGTGACAAGGTGGAAAATTATCAAGTTCAGCACGACACAAAACTCGAAGGAAATAATAATAGTGACAAGAACATAGTGAGCAAATTAAGTTACATTGTTAACACCTCGACGAGGAGTAACACCAAACAATTGTAGCGACAACACATTTTCTTTCTGTACGCAAAGTTCAGGATTTAACTTACGGATATACAAAGCTTCTAACACAGCCAGATGCAACGCACATCTACCACGTGACAATATTGAGAACACATTATCACTGTACAACTCACGACAATTGGTACGGGCTGACAGATGTTGCTTGATGGACGAAGTGCGATTCTTAGCTCCGTTGGGTGTAGTCTCCTCCAATGTCCCGTCATCTCGCCTCTTCGCGGCATCACCACTATCCGTCTCTTTGCTTTTCCGCGGCCTTCCACGTTTTCTGACACTAGCCGTTGTGTGCGCGATGACCAGTGTCCTTTCAGCTACGTCTCCTTCATTGCGGACTTCTATTGATCTTCTTACTCCAACTTGTCCGGTGTTCGATATTGAGGTTCGTTTTCGCGGTCTACCACGTTTTCGAATATTGACTGTTGTTGTCACTTCCGTTGTCGTTGTACGTGCGTCCTCACCAGTCCGTATTTTTACTTGGCTTCGCGTAACCCTTCCCGACGCAGACAGATCCTTTGTCAATTTCGGTGGTTTACGTGTCGGTCTTTCACCATCTTTCACGCTGTTCTCAGCTGGACCCTGCCCTACACACGCGGAGGAGGACGGGCATACAGTGACATCTTCACAGGAAGAGGAAGATCCTTCTCCTCCTCCCTCCCTCCCTTCTCTCTCTCTCTCTCTCTCTCAGACTCTCTCTCTCTTTTTCTCTCCCTCTCTCTCGCTCCCTCCCTCACTCGCTCCCCCTCCCTCCCTCCCTCCCCGAGGAAGGGAGGGTCTTGTTGATCGATTCTTTGTTGATATCTTCCAAATAATTTACAGACTACAGTCTCATGTACAGACTACAGTCTCATGTAGGCTCTACATCTACACGTGCATTGTACGTCATGTTTATAGTTACTAGTATACGTTTTATATCGACTCGTGCACTTGCAGTCTGACTCGAGTAAAAAATAAATTCGACCTACATGTACTTGCTAAGAGCAGCGCCAAGGCGCATGCGGTCCCTGCGGCCCTCGCGGCCAGCTCTAATGCCAAAATAAAGAAAAATGGGTTGAATCGTACATGTCAGATGTGGAAATAAAATGCGGTTCTGCTTTTGACTCGTGGCCGAGTCGTGGGTCGGATTTCTTTGGCCGCAACTGTCATGTACAAACAGTTACATCGCGTAGTAAAGACTATGCATATGCTGTGCATCATGGGGCATGTGAGCCTGCGCCTATGCCCTGGCTATGGCTAGGGACTTCAGACCACTTTTTAAATCGGTTTTCTGTGGCTTATGTGTTGCTTTTTGGATAGGTTTAATAGAGCTTCCTGAGGAGTTTGGTCTTTAGTTTTTCTAAATCGGACAAAGGAAACTAAAGTTACAAGCAAAATAGTCATCGCCTATCACCGGATTTGTCCGACAAACGTCCCACACATTTGAGATCAGAGAGATAATGTATGTCAAACTGAGAGAACTCACTTCCTTGGCAACGCATAGCAACCACACACCAGATCCAAAACAATCTTGATTCTCCGCATGAAATAGCTGAATAGTATGGTTTACAATGTAGTGGTTAGTAACGGGAGACATTGATAATACAGTCCTGAGATAGCTTCGGACTGTTGGCGTGGTTGGTGTCAAGAAAAAGAATGATCACGAAGAGGCACTGACTAAGCTCAACATGTACATGTACAGGACATTGTATTGGCTGGGGTAATCGTAGCACGCACATCATCAGCAGCAGAGATACAGCAAATCGCAACAAGAGTATACAGCACATCTCCCAGTTCGGCACTCTTTCAGCTATTCTTGCGGAGCTCAACCAGATCGAGCATAACAGCATTGGAGACAAGAATCGAGGCATGGACCGAAACAGCCAAGAGCAATTCAATTTGCACATCAGCATCATTCAGCGCAGGATACTTCTCGCTGCTTTCCATACTGTGACTATGGCGGCACTGCACGGCAAAGTACAAAGAGGAATAATGCAAGAAATAGGTCTTCTGGAAGGTGAAAACAATAAAGATTACCTTCTATCTAGAGTAATTTGAGGTCGTAGAATACGAATCTCACATTTTCAAGAAGGGGACCCGGACGGATCATATGGTTTCTCACCTTTCCCTTCCATCCGCATACGCATACAAAAATGAACGTAACAGCTCCATTCTTGCTGGTCCCAAACGAAGGCAAGCTCCAACAAGACGAACCGAAACTTTCTCCAACTGTACAAGACTTCCTTCATATCGAAAAACGGTTCCACATTTCTTTACACGACTTGACATATGACCATCACACGATTCGTGCAGGCGTCGATTTGCACGCTTTTGGGCCAAGAAGTCACGTGGTCTGAAGTCCCTACTATGGCTATGACTCAGTATGAGTTGACTAGGCCTAGGCGTATGAGTCGGTATGACTCTGAGTATGACAACAAAGACGTGTGATCATCACGCGGCCGAAAGTGGTGTGATCTTTGGTGGTCCGATTCCGCTTCTTGATGCAGCCTGTTGTGTTACCCGCGCACGGTCGACGGCGCCGGTGCCGGTAGAGCTAGAGTAGAGCATCATCAACACAACACTCAACAACAGAAAACACTGTACTGTAGTACTACTACTAGTAATACTAGTAGGACTCAGTAGTGTTATTAAATTTTATCACTCCCTTAGTATTGACTCACATAGATTTTTGCCATACCTAAGCAGTCAAATATTCCTGCATATTTGACTCCTTAGGGCTATATTGACCGCTTTTATTTGACTCCTTTTTAGCGGTTGAACACATGCTTTGGTTAGTTGTGATAAATCCAATATTGACTTCGTACTTGGTCAGTATAGGAAGTAAAAGACCTCGTAAAAAACCTCGGCTTCGCCTCGGTCTTTTACTCGGCTTTTATTTCCTATATTGACCTCGTACTCAGTAAATATTAGTTACGTACTGCATGTAGTCTAGATCTACGCCGAGACTACGGTCAGCAGCGAGGACTGAATAGATACTACCGGTACAGCTAAAATCATAACACTGGTAGAACAACGGTATGGTATCCGGTATACACTCATTGCCGAAGTTGTGTTGCCATGGTGCAAAAATGGCGTTGGATGGCTACGCCTGAGCGCTCGCGCTGTCATCGCAGCCCACGACACGTCTTCCTGCTGTGCTTTCTTGACAAATTATTTTGTTTCGCTTTGTCCTTGTTGCTGGAGGGTTTGATTCTTTGAGATACTGTAGAGCGATTTGGAGTTGGTCAGCCGAGAGTAGTCGTGAGAAATGGAGAAAGAATGTGAGAGAACCTGGACTGCGGATCAAGTCGCTCTGTTCCAGCCCAGGCGAGCAGAGGGTTACGATCTCAGTGCCCAGGCACGTCGCTCCTGATTATTTCAAGGGGCTCGATGTGCAAGTGGCACTCGAAACCAGTGCTGCGCAGAGTGCCCCTGTTCCTGCCAGTGTCGCTGCTTCAGCCGGGCTGGCGCTGGCGTCTCAAGTGCAAGCAGTATACCTAGTAGTAGCTGAAACCACTCCTGAACCTGCTGTAAAGCCCGCCGCTCAGGGCCAGTGCAAACAGCAGCTGATGCTGCTACTGAAAGGGCCACGTATTCACTTCTTTCCAGCTCTGTCCTGTGCGCTCCCACCTCTTGTGGGGATATCATGCGCTTACGCATGCAAGGTCTGCGCCAACTTTGCAAAGACAGTATTCCCTACCAAGGGCGTGTGCCCAGACGTGATCTTTACCTTCTCATCTGTGAACATTTCCACTTGAGTACTGCTGGCGAAGGGGTTCCAGACGAGGAGGCAGACAAGCCTGCACTACCAAAGCCAGTAATGGCAGCGTACAAGAAGCTACCAAGCTTTTCACACATAACATCTGGCTGGTCTCTATCTCGCCTAACTAAAATCCCTTTCTTCATTACTGAGGCTGTCAAGCACTATCTGTTAAATTCCCCGGAAAAAGATTATGACAAGGAGAGCTTGCAGTGCTACAAGCAACTTCGTGCGTACCAATTATTTGATGAGCACCACCTTCACCATTTGGAGGGAAACCTGTTTGCAGGTGGAACAAACTTTTGTTTCCTCCATGCGAAATGCTGGCCATCACAAGATACATCAAAGCAAGCCTACACGTGTATCGTCTGCATCAGCAGGGACGATCCAGTGTGCTAAGGTGGATACTGCCAGTGCATTTCCGGATAAGAAGAGTGCTGTTCACATGTCGCGGCTTTGCTGTTTGCGCAGGATGATTTTTGCAGCCATGGCATGCAGAGTTTGTCTGGACCTTCCGTAACAGACATGTTGTATGCATGCACGCTTGTGCTTCTGACTGTTTTTCTAGATCATGGCTTCTCTTCTGATCTTTCCTCGTCATGTCTGTTGACGTTTATCATCTTGTCCAACATAAACACAGTACACTGTGAACGAAAGCAACATATCATTCCACCTCACCTCTCAACCCCTCACAAACAACCGAAAACTCGTCATCGATTGCACTGATTTTTTAACGACTTTCTGGATCAATAATCATCATTTTTATGTCTTCAACCAGAAATTGGCAGAGATCAAAATGGTCTGTCATCATAGTAAAACCTTGACTTACAAGACATTTCTGATAATAACTTCGGACTGATGTTAGATTATTACTGGAACAAATCATTTCTGAATGCACAGATTGAGCTAAGTGGAATACTTGGTTGGTTGATAGAACTTGTATTTCCGGTGGAATATATGGAATATATGTAACAATCTTTTCACATTCACGCAGTATTTATTGGAACAAATTCATATTCTGTGATGATGATGGTGGTCAGCCAGTGTCGGTGAAACGTCTAATGGCCATCGCTGAGGACCAGTGGCATACAAATGTCTAAGGGTAGATAGGCCGCGCCAAGTTTGCATCCTCTTGGCTTTGGGTTCGAGGTATATGAACAGGGCAGAGAACACTGCGTAGTTAGGCAGCCCGGTGAAGTGCCTGAACTTGTCAGGATTGTTTCTGATGCAGGCTAAATCGATCGAATGACACTTCAGGCTCTCGTACTCTTTTATTAATTTCACTGAAGTCTTTTTTCTAGGCCAGCCATGTGATCATCAACTTCACTCGGGTCACTTACACTGATATATCTGTGATCAGATGGCAAACCCGGCACAGGACCAGGGATCGGTGCTGGGTCAATAGCCGAACAGACACCAGACACCACAGAAACGACCCTGGCATCATCAATATCTTGTGGCTCCTCAGACTCTTGACGTTTTCTCTTCAGAACTCGTCTCGCTGGTTTAGGAGTTGCCGTCCACTGGAACTGGGTTGGCACAGCGGTGGGGTTGAGCCATTTTCTTTCTGGCTCCTCACCAGACAGGAGCTTGCCGACGTAATCATCTTGTTTGACATGAGAGCTGCATACTCTGGTGTTAGATGTGATCTTGAAATTTGATCCCATGTCCCTCCTAATTTCAAATTGCCATAACTTGCACCTTTCTGCATCACTGGGAAAACGATGAAATGCAAGTGATATAATCTAAAGACCGATTACTGCAGAGCGGAACAGCACAGTAGTAGCCCTTGCCTGAAGTTCTTTTCGGCTTCTTGGCAGGTTGGTTGTCAGTGCCAGATTCCTCTGCGGCTGACCCCACGGACACTGAAGGCGAAGAAACAACACCAACACTAGCTGCAGCGACAGTTTGTCCTGCATTCAAAACAGTGCCGCTGACTACAATGGCCATGATCGTGGTGGGCAGAGCCCAAACCAAGGTTCCGCTGCCATTATTTATGTTATTTTGTCAGGTGCACTGTGTTCAACACAGTGTCTCCGCCTAGTTCCTTTGTTTAGAAAAGCTTCGTGAACTTTATTTCAACGGTGTTTTTAGCAAGAACCCGCTCAACGAACCGCGCTAAAGTAAAGACTAGCTGTCATTGACAGGCTAGGCCACATTCACGTGGAGGCTTAAAGTACTATGTGTTAGTTTGGATGATTCCGAGCAGATTCTCACCAGTCAAGTATAAAACTGACGTCACTTTCTTCCTGGAAACTGAAACAGTAACGCAGCGACGCTCGCGGCTGGAACGAGGAGTCACGCGGCACTCCCTGCCCTGAACTAGTTTGCTCTGTGCTTACAGCACGACGGCGCGCGGCCTTATACGGAGCATGAGAACATGAAGCTGTTCCGCTCACAGTCACAGCAAAATGACACATTTCAGTCGTTGTGCAATAAGGCAGACATCGGAACGGAATGTTGACAACCTGGCTTTGTTCGATTCTCTGCAGTTGGACGTCCCCCTTTTGTCGGCAAGGTGAATCGCAGGGACCTCCTCGAAGCCGTTGTAGAATGCTGGGAGAAGTACCCTGCAGAGAAAATGCAAAGCGTACGGATGTGCTTGTACGACCCATATCACCGTATAATTGAGGTCGCGGGTGGAAACGACTGAATATAGTCCACACCGAGACGTACACAGCTCTGAAGATGAAGAAGACGTAGCCAAAGTCCCCTGTCGGATCATCACTGCAGCTGACCAGAAGCTAAAGAAAGCACCGACTGCTGGCGATGCGGAGTCAGCGTATCATCAGGTGACAATGACACCAGCTAAGAAATCTCTGAATAAACTCAATCTCATTCGTCTAAGTCGCTTTTTGTCTTTGTATTAAGCTCAGTGTCAGCAAGTATATGTACATGTAGTACAATTTGTTCCCAAAATAACTTCGGGACAGTCTGTTCATGGTTTTCATTTGTATTGGACTTGTTCTAGGTAATTCTAATTAGGGGTGAAAGTTGGCATTGAGATCCCGAGTTCGAGTACTCTGATTTTCTCCGATCGAATATTCGAGTATTCTTCATCTCCTAAAAATTGCACACCGAGGGCCTTAAAATCACATGATACAACCCTGATTGAATTTTTCTCTGGTATATTGGTTGCTGGGTCATTTGGGCTCTCTCTGTAGCGTGGCCCAAGTGGTTGGGCACACAACAACCGACAAGTCTCACCAGAGCAAGGAGAAGTGGTTGAAGAAATGAAGGATGATCTTTCTTCAGAGACAGAGCTTTTTATATGTGCCAAGACTAAGAGAGTTCAGGTTTCACATAACAACGAGCAACGGTTTAGACCAATCAGGAGATAGAGAGATGGCACAGATTCGAACAATCAGAAGACATGTATTGGAGTTCAGGTTTCACATAACAACGAGCAACGGTTTAGACCAATCAGGAGATAGAGAGATGGCACAGATTCGGCCAATCAGAAGACATGTATTGGAAGAAAGTAAAGAAAAAAGGAAAGCTTCTGAAAAAGGTAGGTTCAAACTTCGCATGCAAAGGATACTAGTCTTATTACTGTACAGGTTTTAACACACCAAGCTACAGTGACACAGGCACTAGACTACAATGCAACAGGTACAAGGTTGAAGAATCTGCATGCTCAACATCTCTACTCATGAACAAATGTTCACCAGACAGTCTGCACATCAATGACTGCCTAATGCTGCTCAGAAACTGCAGATTTCTGTGGAAAATGCATGTACCACGTATGAACGAGTACTCTGATTTATTCCGAGTACGATTATTTCTGAAAAAACCGAGCGAGTACTCGAGTATTCGGGGGATTTCGGTATAATTGTTTCACCCCTAATTCTAGTTGTGTAGCGTTTTTCTCTTGTAATTTAGTGGAACCTGTATTGAGTAACTGAGTTTTATGTTTCGTTACATTGTCGACAGATCTCCTGTGTACCGGCTTTGTGGCACACTGATTATAGCAATTTGTTGTCTTCATTCTTGTGCAATCATGCATATGTAGGTTGATTCTCTTCATGCTATTGTGACCGATTTCATAGATGTTGGTTGCGTTGTTGCTTTTTCAACCCTCTCCTCTCACCCAAGCCATTCTGCATAAGCGAAGCTGTGGAAGCAGCATACTGCTGCTACACTTCAACGCGGAAATGCGTATAACATTAAAGATAATACGATAGCCATTAAACGGTAAAACAATGCCACGAGAGATATTCCAAGTCAAGCTGAACATTTCCGGAGCTTTGGGGGGTAGGTAGCGTGGTCGTTAACCCCTAAAAATTGAATTTGTAAATTCATATCGAGTGCTACATCAGTTGACAGAGCATGAACAGCTGCAAAATCTCTGAAAACTTTGTCTCGATATGACCAGCCACTCAAGTGTTATGGCCGAAAATGTGCCCTTGCGAGGAAAGATTTTTTTGTTGCATGCTGTCATTTTTGGCAGCACTGTATTTGAATGTGAGCAGACCGTGTGTGAAGTCCAAAAAATCACGTTTTTAGCCATGTATTGGGCTGCACGGCGGGATTTTTGCCATCACCCACGTGACGTTGCAGATATGTGGCTTGATTATTGTAGTTGACGTTGATTTAGTGACTTTGGCAAGTAACCAGTTTGGGTCGTGTCAAGAAGTCAGGTAGGATTCAGTACTAGGCAGTAGTGGAACGTGAGCATATGCATGATTGAACATGTATGAAGACGACAAATGGCTATAAAATTAATAATCATTGTGCCACAAAATCGGTACGGGCGAAGCCCGCCGCAGTGCAGCAGGATTTTTCCCAGCACGGTCGTGACGTTGCAGATGTGTGGCTTGATTCTTGTAGTTGACGTAACCGTTGATTGTTGTTGTTGTGGTTTGGCTTTATTTAAAGTGGAGTTCCAAAACAGGCCTAAACCTTATGACAATGGTCCCACTGATAATAAGAGAAAAGAAAAATATATAAAAATAAGCGGACAAACAGAATTTAGTTTGTTTGGCAAGTTTGAGTCGTGTCAAGAAGTCAGATAGGATTCAGTACTAGGCATTAGTGGAAAGTGAGTGGTAATCTTTGCCGATTTTTGAGGGTGTCCTGAATTCGGTTTGCAGCGCTGTGGAAATGGCTTGCTGTGGAAAACCCAGCACTGGATGTTGTATCAAAGGTACGACCTCGTTGCACGCCCTAAACCGAAAAAAATCTAAATATTGACTTGGGTCTGTGGGAGTCTGTGACAGAACGCCCACTCCCGCCGTTGTGACAGATTCCAGGGCCACGTTGAAGGGCCCTATCCCACCAACCATGGCTGCTTCTGGACTTTTTTTGTAGGTTTGGATCCCGCGCACGGACAGAATGTGCAAGAAAACGTGAAAAATTGCAAATGTGAAAAATTGCAAGTGCAACTTTTTGGCTTCTGGGTGGCTCGCACACCGTGCCACTATGCCGGAATTTTCAGTTTTTCCCGCCTGGAAAGCCTGTCAGTGAGGCGCAAGAACTTTTAAATCATGTCCAGAGGCCCAGCATAGTGGCAGGAGTGGGTATTGCAATTGTCACTCAAATCCATTGAGAGACACCAAAGTTACGGTCAATTGAATGCCATATGAAATTTACGACCAGGCTGCCACCTTAAGGTAGGTAGGTAGGTACGTTTTAATTAAGAACACCGATGTAGAGGCAGGGATAAATATGTAGCATGGAAAAGTGTGCATAACTTGTGCCCATATTTTGCCATGAATAATCTGCCTTAATTAAAACATAGACAGCTGTCTAAGATGCTCAGACTACGTATACATGTACTGTTTGGGTGGTGCTGCCTGATGACTGTTTTTAACACGAAATCCTGAGGAAAGGTAGAGAAAGACTTGGTAGAGGCGTTGCTGTATGCGAGTTGCACTTCAGAAAATTGATACGAGAATACAATAGTAGGTAAACTGGGTGTGAAATGCCTTGCAAGCACACAAGCCTACACATACATGCGATCAAGAGTAGATCAACACGAATGTGCAACTAAGGGATGGGTTGGCCACGGGCGGAATTTTTTGTGAACGTGATCTTTTCGACGACTCACGCGCTGAGAGTCTTTAGGAAAGGTTTTCCTTGTGCCCTTGGCGGGGCTTTACATTGCAAGGTCAGTGAGTAGGCACCGGCGGATTATGCTCGCGAAATCAAGGAATTATGCTTTCATGGATTCTCGCATTATGCTCGTAAAATCCTCATATTATGCTTTAGCACCCGGGGATATATTCACTTTGTTGTACTTATGGAGCCTCAAAGTTCGGGAAAGTGTGCCTTTTTTCGTACTTGCAAGTTGCAAGTGGCCATAAGTACAAGAAAATACATTTACATGAGTATCCCCATACCAAGGTGTCCATGCATGTAAGAGGTCAACATGGAAAAGAGAAAACAATACTTCTTCTATTCATTACTTGATTTCAAACAATAGGAGGACAGAGAAAGTGTTTTTACTCCTAGTTTCACCCACTAAGCCATCATCAGAAAACATTAATGAGAAATCTGGATCAGTACACTTTGCTTTGTGAGTATATAAAACAATACTGATCCAGATTTCTCATTACTGTTTTCTGACGATCGCTTAGTGCGTGAAACTCAGAGTAAAAACACTTTCCCTGTCTTCCTATTGTTTGAAACAGCTCTACCACTCGGTATTGAGCACTCTCTTGGACAGCCTGGAGCCTCTCTGTTTTACATTACTTGATTTCTTTTGTACTTCAGTAAAAATATTATTTCATTGCAAAATTAGTTTGAAATTAGTTTGAGTTACCTTTGAAAATCATCATGGTCAACTGTCTTCGTAATCATCATACTCGTCCATCCGATGTCACCCTGGGCCTCACCCTGCGAATAATGAGCTCATCTCTCCCTAGCTCCACGTCTCCTTCCATCATGACCGAACATCAACTATACATCAATTTAGAGCAATATCCGTAGCCTGCAGTCATGTCATGGCTGCTAAAATCCAGACTGGTCATGACTTCGTAACATGCATAATGTATATGTACAAGTACACGGAGTTTTGCGGACCCGCCACTACATGTATCTCGTCCGCCCCGGGATACCTGATGAAGGCTGATTCACTCGCATCTTCTGCTACATGTACTGTGTCAGTGTGAGAAAGAACTTTGAAGAAGACGAGTTCGAGCATACAATAATGTATCGACATCATTTCTACTCTGCTTTTCATTGAAAACACTATCTGCATGACCTCCGAACCCTTTGCCATGCAGACCACCAGCACTGATCAGGTGCATTGTACACAATAATTGTATAGCCTACATACTAGAACTGTGGTATAATCGTGTAGTTATGCTCCTACCTCCGAGAGGATGCCAAATTATGCTCAAAATTTCCAACCATCAAATTATGCCAATAATTTTGTCGGCATAATCCGCTGGTGCCTATCAGTGAGTGCCCAGCACGTGCTCTCACACTGCTCTGCGACAAAATGCACGTTTTTTTCTGAAAAGGTGACGTCACCAAAAATTCCGCCACAGTCGGGCGTATCTGCAGATTGTTCAGAAGAGATCTTGAGTTGCAAACTCCTGTTTATCTACTCTCGATGCTATAGACAAACACAAAAGCTAAGAATGTAATGTATACACACATCGTTGTTTGGTTGGATTTATTCTTTCAGTTCGTTGCCTCAACAGTACAAAGTACAAATATCAAGAGGGACGAACTAAAAGTGAAAGTAAAACCGAGCAGAAAGGAAGGTGAAACTGAAAGGAAACAAAAACGGAGAGAAACAGAAAAGGAATTGTGACTGGGCGGATTCATGAACCATTACTAGAGCGGGGCAATACATGAAAAGAAGGGGCAAGTCCATCGATATTCATGTTTAAAAAACTCCATGCCTTATATTATTTTATACATACATGTAAAAGATAAGACCAAGGAACTACAAGTTTACTTACGCTATACTGTCCATTAACACCACCCGTTACTAAACAATCAGCTCATGCAATAACATTGGACGACACTGACCGACGGTTCTGAGTCTACTGATGTTCTGCAACAAAGTGGCCTACAGCTCTAGCACATATTGGATGCGCAGTCCAACAGCTTTTCAACTTGGAAGGTTCTAGGTTATAGAAATAATATAAGGAGGGGGAGGGTGAGTGCAATTTTATTTTATGATGGCAATGAACAGATTCAGCTGAAGCGACATGTTAAAGTTTTTTAAGGATGAATTCAAAAAGAACGAAACAGCATGCTGTCCGCAGATTGAGTAAAATTCCTAGCCTTACGTGCATGCACATGCATGCAGACTATAGACCGCCTGGAACCTTTCTGTTTTACATGACAATGACGTACTATACTGGGCATAGCCAAACACATCCACATGAACACACCTTGGTTTTGACATTTGTACCTCTCAACGTCATGTCCATGACACTGTACACTCATATAAATGATGTATTTTTCTTCCTGGGGTAAGACAACTATTTTACTGGCAAGATAAGTTCATACATATGTAGATGTAAACAACAGAGACACCATGAAAAAAAACACACTCACACACATGCCTACACATACATGTACATGTACATGTAAAAGACCAACACACAACGTAAAGTAATATACTCATGCTTGCACAAACACATAATCACACATGCACGCACGCATGCACCCACTCCTATTATCCACCGGCTTGTCGCTGCCTGTATTCTTGTGCATACCTTCTTGTCCATTCCTTTGCTCTTTGGGCGAACAAATCAGGATCAATCTGGTGCGCGTTTCCAACTTCTCCAGTTAAGTGTGAGAGACACGAGTACGGATCATTCAATAAATTTTGAATCGTTTCAAATAAGCTAACCATACTTTTATGCCAAGAGCCCGAATTATAAGCATCAACATTCCTCAACAAACACCACTCGCATATCTTGCTATGTCGCTTGACGATCGGATGGTAAATATTGGTGATGAAAGTCACGTCGGGCAACACGAAGGGATTCTCGGCTATGCATTTGAGCGTTATGTCAAAGACACCACCTTCATACAGGCTACCTTTCGGTCCAAAGACAGTAGCTTCCCAGTAAAGCAAATCATCATCATCATGATTTGCTTTGATGTAGCATCCATCTGGTGGATTCTTTTCCAGCCTCTCAAACTCATTTCTGATGTCCTTCCTTCCCAATACCAAGGCTCGATCATAAATTTCGTCTTCAGTTTCGGAACTTATCCATGCTCCATCCGCCATGTCTAACCCGCCTTGACGGCGTCTACCTGTGCACGAAGATAGACACCGCCTGTATCAACACCTTATTCTCCTAGCCAGCAGAGTAACCACTCTGATAATGCTGCGAAAGAAATTGGCGAGTATCATTAGTACCTGATGGTGGTAATGAAAAGCACCAGCGGATTATGCCGACATAATTATTGGCATAATTTGATGGTTGGAAATTTTGAGCATAATTTGGCATCCTCTCGGAGGTAGGAGCATAACTACACGATTATACCACAGTTCTAGTATGTAGGCTATACAATTATTGTGTACAATGCACCTGATCAGTGCTGGTGGTCTGCATGGCAAAGGGTTCGGAGGTCATGCAGATAGTGTTTTCAATGAAAAGCAGGGTAGAAATGATGTCGATACATTATTGTATGCTCGAACTCGTCTTCTTTAAAGTTCTTTCTCACACTGACACAGTACATGTAGCAGAAGATGCGAGTGAATCAGCCTTCATCAGGTATCCCGGGGCGGACGAGATACATGTAGTGGCGGGTCCGCAAAACTCCGTGTACATGTAAAGGCCGATTCCACACTACCCCGAAAGTTGCTTTGCTTCAAGGCAAAACGTGGCTGATAAAAAAAAAAAAAATTTTTTTTGAGCTGTGAACATGCCGTTGATCGACTATTCATATCCAAACGATAGCTACAAGCAAGGATCGGTAACCCCAAAGCAGGCCTTTGGGAACCCATGCTTTGATCTCTACGTTGAGGAGGACGACACAGACTCTCGGTCTGCTGGTGACTCTACTGGAGAGGCGAACGTGTGTTCTGCGGGCAGAACCACACACCCTACGGAATGCGGTCGAGATGCAGGCAGCAAGTCGCCGGTAAGTGACTTAGAGGTTATCTCGCCTCCCGAAGACTCCATATTAGATGTCAATGGCCTGATCGAAAGCATCAAGACCGAAATAGTTGGGACAGTCAAGGCTGAATTGGCCGCCCTTCAGGAAGTTTTTTCAGGGATCTCCTCGGCAATCGTCAACATGCAAGGGGAACTCTCCATGATTAGAAAAGAGCAAGCTGACCTTGCACACACGCATACGCCTATTAGTACGGTGCAATCAGATTCCCGTATATCTGCGCTGGAGGACAAGTGTAAGGAACAGGAAGCGCGCCTCAAGTCAGTAGAGCATATGCAACACATGTACACTGAACCGACCCCACTCAAAACGGCTGGCGATACCGTATCCAAGCCGGGTGCACGTGGCCTGCAAATGCAGCAAGCCAACCAAGGGCGCCTCAAGTCAGTAGAGCATGTACAATGTACAACACACTGCACCGACCCCATTCAAAAAGGCGGGCGATACCGTATCCAAGCCGGGTGCACATGGGCTGCAAATGCAGCAAGCCAACCACATGGATACCACTACAAGTTGCAGCACTTGCAGATCCACGACCCAGCAGCGCGTATGGGCATCAGTGCTCAATAGCTCCAGTGACAACGGAGCACTTCGGCCCTCCTCCAAGCCATCGGTCACTGCGCAGCCACCTCTCCCACAGGAGCACCGCCAGCAAACTAACCAGCACCAACGACCCCAACAGCGACAACAACAACAACAACAACAACAACAACAACAACAACAGCGCCAGAAGCAGCAGCAGCAGCAACAACAGCACCACCAACACCACCAACACCAGCAACACGACGAACAATGGACTACAGTTACCAGCCGCAAACTGAGAGGTTCTCTTGGCTCCCTGCGGAAAGTATACTTTGTTGGCAATATTGATGACAGTTGCGACGCAGACTCCATAACGTCCCACTGTGTCCAGAATGGCATCACACCCACAGCTTGCCGCACCTTTCCTTCTCGCAAACATGTAGGCACAAAAGCTGCAGGGCTTACAGTCCGTGAAGACCAATGTGCAGCCATGGAGGCAGATGGGTTTTGGCCAGCGCCCATTCAGGTTCGGCCATGGGACTTCAGCGAGGCAAATAGGCCCACAGCCACCAACTAATCGACCGTGTTCCCACTCAATCCCCATGCACCAGTCTTCTTACCTCGCATCTATCGTGCCCAACCCTGCTCAACAGCAGCCACGACCTTGCTCCCACTCAACCCCCATGCACCAGTCTTCATACCTTGCACCTATCGTGCCCAACCCCGCTCAACAGCAGCCACGACCGTGTTCCCACTCAATCCCCATGCACCAGTTTTCATGCCTCGCACCTATCATGCCCAACCCCACTCAACGTTTGTAAGAGAACAACCTCCACCTGATACCACACCAGTAAACGCATCCCCCCACAACAATAACAATAATTCTTGCATTCGGATATGTACCCTGAACTGTCGTAGTATGAAACATAAACTGGCTGATATTACAGACCTCCTTGACCACCATAAAGTAGACATTTTGTGTATAACGGAAACGTGGCTAAATTCGTGTATCCCAGACGAGATCATTAAGATACCGGGTTACGACCTGTTCCGTCGTGACCGGTCCCAGTGCAGCACTACATGGAGCGACTTGGGTGGTGGTGGGGTAGCAGTCTTCTCTTCGTCCGCCCTTTGTGCTATGCGCCGCCGGGATCTAGAGTGCAACAATTCAGAGATGATAACTGTCGAAACAGGAGCTACAATCATTTCCTGTATGTACCGTCCTCCAAGACACGATAGTCTTGCATTCTGCAACTCATTCAGTCCTCTTCACCCCCTCGTTGACAACCGTCCAGTAATTGTCGTGGGAGACTTTAACTCCAAGAACAATGAGTGGAACAACGCAGACCCTACGAACACTGCAGGTAGACACATGCAGTCCGCCTTTGACGACTATGGCTTCACTATGGTCTCCAAGAACCATGGAACGAGGCCAACTAAAGACTCTAATCCGTCCCTAGACCTGATTTTAACTAATATGCCCCATCTTGTCACTTCATGTTACACATCCATGCCCATTGCAGACCACTGTCCTCTATTTTGCGCATATTCTCCACCAGAGAAACGCCACTCTAGAAGTACTGTCAACGCAGCTGCAGTCTCCAGAAAGGTTGACATGCACCTCCTCAGGCAGAAACTGAGCACACTACCATTGACCGAATGCATGCAGGGCACCAACGTGCACATCAGTTTCAGATGCATGGCCTACTCTGCACTGCTGGACCAGGCAATTCAGGCAGCAACGACCATCACACGCCGGAAAAACACCCAGTCGAACCAACCATGGTTCACAAAAAAACTTAAGACGCAACGTCAGCGAACTAACCGCCTCTATGTGCTCCACCGAAAGGAGCCACTCAACGATTCCTTACGAGCTGCATACAAACTCTCGCGCAACCTGTACCACCGGTCATTAAGAGCCGCCAAGGACACATACTTGTCAACGCTCAGATACACAATGCTTGGCAAGGAAAGAAAGGGTGGCTATGCGTGGTGGAAACGTGCCAAAGCAATATGCAATAGTGATCAAACAAATAAAAAGGCAATTCCAGACCTGCAGAACGGCAATGAAATTCACAAAACAGATCAAGCGAAGGCCGAAACGCTGTGCACCTTCTTTGCCCGCCAATGCACCACTCAGTCAACGCCGCCGAATACTGTAGCAACTAGTATAACAATCAATGAAGCCGACGTCGATGGAAACAAATTTGGATTCGGAAACATACGCCCTGTTGAAGTCTTCGATGCAGCAAAGAGGCTGCAACAACATAAATCATCATCAGACATCAACCTGACAAACCGTATACTAAAGCAATTCGCAGATATCCTTTCCCAATCACTATCAGTATTGTTCAACTACAGCCTTGATGATGGTGTGTTCCCGTCCTCCTGGAAATCATCCACTGTAATACCGGTGTACAAGAATAGAGGTTGCGCCAAAGAGCCTACCAATTACAGACCTATATCCCTTCTCCCATGCATAGCGAAACTAATGGAAAAGATTCTCTCGGAACGTCTACTTCGATACTTGATGACCAAGGGTGTAATTTGTAAAGGTCAATTCGCATATGTACGCAACAAGTCTGTAACGGACCAACTTATCTTGCTAACCCAATCAATGGCTGTAAATATTGATAATGGCACTAATTTTGACCTGATATCTCTAGATTTCAGGAAAGCTTTCGACCGGGTCGACCACTCTATACTCCTAAAGAAATTCGGTAAGATTGCTACAGCTTCGTCAGTAAAATGGCTGAAGAGCTTCTTAGGGGATCGACAAATTGAAGTGAAGGTACATAGCACTAAATCGAAGAAGCGGAGCATCAACTGCGGAGTGCCTCAAGGTTCCCACCTTTCACCACTCCTATTCCTACTCTATATAAATGACCTGCCCAACGCTATGCAACATTCCACGCAATATCTATTTGCAGATGATGTCACCCTCCTACTGGCTTACAAACCTGAAGACACCCTCGCCAGTAGAGCGAACATGCAGTCTGATCTTGATGCATGTCAAACATGGGGCAGGAACAATGGAGGTGAATTCTCAGCAAGCAAGACATCCGTGCTGTGCCATAGAGCTATCAATGATACACCTACTGCAGGAATCCAATACCAAATGTACAATGAGCCATTAACGGTGGTTTCTGAACTGCAACATCTTGGCATCACCTTGACCGACAACCTGGATTTCCGCAAACATGTCGCCTCAATAACTTCGAAGTTCAGATATCGAGTGCACCTACTGTCAATTATGTCCCAGCAACTTACGCCTTCGGCAATGATCATACTGTACAAAGGGTTCGTAAGACCTGTGATCGAATATAGCTGTACGGTGTGGTCGTTTGGATCTAATAAGAAACCCATGACCACTCTTGATCAATTACAGGCAAGGTTTGCTAGAGCTCTACTGAAAAAGAAAAAAATTGCATTTGATTACACTTCTTCCAAATCTGTCTTAAATTCTAAATGCTCCCTAGAGTCACTAGCCTATCGTCGTCAAATCATCAGTCTCACTACTTTTCACAGATATGTTTTCCATCATCGTGATTACCTTGCTGATTTCCATTTCAAGATTACGAATAG